AGCCTCTAGCGACTCATGAGGATCATGCAGCCCACTACCCCATCAACACCCACGCCACACCTCTCCCCTCGGCTCGTCTGCGAGGAAAACAACCACCTAGGGGCACCCAGCTGCCCCGCACCTCTCGCCGCTCTCGCTCTACTCTGCCACGTCAGCAGCCTACAGGTTGCTCGTGAGCAGCACAGCTTCTGACCCACACGGGTTCCCGCCCCTACGGCACGGGCTCACTGTTCACCAAAGCATTTCACGCCCACTCCCGCCCCATCTCAAGTTAGTTCAATTCAACGAGGCATTTTGCGCTCGAGTATTTGCCCTAGAGTCACTACATTTCACAATCACCTGCGCTGCGCTATTCGATTACGCTTGAACTAGACTGGTTCGAGGCATCTTCCTGGCAAGGCGCATCGCAGTGATCGTCCGGTTTGGCACCCGAGGTGATGCCTGCGCACGCACATTGCAGGCCCTGCCCTTCCAATCGACCCGCGTGGCGTGGATTCAACGGGGACCGTCGCGAGTCTGGTCACAGCAGAGCCTGGCTCGTGGTAGAAGATTGGGGTCAGGGGAGGGGTAGGGGAGGGGGAAGGAGGAGGAAAGAGAAGGAGGGTACGTGTGACGGGAGGGGGAGTGGGTAATGAGAAGGGGAGGGCGTGAGGGGAGTGGGTCAAGGGAGCGGAATGGGTTCGAGTGGGTGCCTGTGCGAACAAGTGGGTGCGAGCAGATGCGAGAAGAAGCAAGCAGGAGCAGAGCTGGAGGGGTCAGAGATGAGGGGAGGGTGGGAAGGCAGAGTGGGGAACGGGTGGAAACAAAGGAATTGGACATGGGTGGGGAGAGGGAGACTTGTCAGGTGTTTTCGCACATCGCCTCTCACACATCACCTCTCTCACACATCGCCTCTCACATCGCACCCCTTTCCCCCCCACCCCTTCACCCTCCATTCCTTCTCACCCCATTCCTTCACCCCCCCCTTCCTTCAACCCCCCTTCATTCACCTGCCCTTTCTTCAACCCCCTTTCATTCACCCCCCCTTCCTTCAACCCCCCTTTCTTCACCACCCCTTCCCCCCCCCTTTCTCCCAAGTGAATCTCGCACGCGTCTCCACCCCTCAGGGTGTCTCACCTTGGCGACTTCAAGCTTGTCCAGCCCCATCACAAGCCCCCTTACACCGCCCCTTCGCCCCCCTTCCCGCCCCCCTCCGCGTGCTCCCCGCCGCTGCCACTGCTGCCGCCACCGCCGCTTGCGCCGCCAATGCCTCTCGCCCACCTCCGCCACGTCAGCAGCGTCTGCCTGCCTGGTTGAACACGGGGGGGAAGTCAAGAACCAGTGCAGGAGAAGCAGGTGTGGTACGGAGCTGGTGGGGAGATAGGCGAAGGGTTGGAGGAGGTGGGAAGGGGCAGCGCGTGGGTGAGAGCTGTGCGGCCAGCCACACCATAAGGCCGCAAATCCGCCGTGTGGCGTGGCCCCATCAGAAGCCCCATCCAGCACCATGACCCTGTGTGGCTTGTAAAAGGGATGTGGGAGAGAGATAGTGCTGTAGGGGCGTGAACCTTTGAGCCAGAAGCGTGTATAGGAGAAGCAGGTGCGAAGCTGGGGAGGGGAGGGGTGTGGGAAAAGGACGATTTCAGTGCGTTGGTGAGACGGATGCAGGGAGGATGGGTGTGGGAGTCGGAGCTGAGGGGGAAGGGTAGAAGGAGGGAAAGTGGTTAAGGGGAATGGGAAAGGGAAGAGGAACGGGTAGTGCCTTAGTGAGTGACGTGCTTGTGCGGTTGGGGGAGATGCCATGGGGTCACGAGTTGGTTTGTGTGGGATACACATGTGAGGCTGAATGAATGATGAAGGGGTTTTGCTATTTGGGGCTGGGCGGAAAGGGAATCAGAGTTTGGAGGGGAGGAAGCGTTTGAGGGTAGAAGGGGGAAGGAGTCTCACCTTGGCTGCAACGACCTGCCCATCAGCTCCCTCCACTCGCTCTCACAACCATCCCACAGCAACTCGTAGCAAATCCTCAGAGACTGATCACAGACTCTCAGAAACTCCCACCTTCGCTAGATCGAGCCCGCTATTCCACTGCCCACTTCCCCATCGCGGACGAGTGACTCGAGAGATGTCCATTGCCCAATCCCTACACGCATCTTCCCGCTGAACACCGACCCTCACCTTTGGTGATATCCGGTAATTCAATTGCCACTTGCCACCCATTGGAATAACCCATTCAACGCACCCTGCATGGTCTCTGCCGGCCTCATCAGCACCCCCTCTTTCACCGCCCCCTCGCCCTCCTTCTTTCTCTCCCTGCCACCGCAACTGCCGCCACTGCCGCCGCCAACGCTGCTTGGGCTGCCTGGCTTACGGATTCGAGGCAAGGCAACTGTGAAGCGCCTGGAACTTGGGAAGAGCCGCCATGCATGGCTTCACAAGCAACGCATTCACGCAAGGGGGGGGGGAAGGGAGGAGTCAGTGGCAGGATGAGAGGGAGGAGGCCGAGATGCAATCATGTCCCAGAAAGGCCATCTGCCATGACCGACGTAGACTGTACCCATCGTAGCACCAGCTAAAAAACGTTTTTGCTGTCGCGTCGTGACCGCATGCGGGGAATAGCGAAACACGAAAAGCTGCAGCGTACCATGAGCATGAGCATCAACGCGCCCTCGCAACCCTGATATCATCGCGCTCGAGAGTAGAAGCATGGATCCACGGCATCTCCGCCGCCTCGGAAGAAATACGCCTTAAAGAGAAGCACTCAACAGCTTATTACAGCGATTGAACAGCCCGTGCATGCAGCCGATCGGAAGCACATCGTCGTCCGACCGACGCGAATGGCGATTCGCCTCAACATGCAACAGAGACCGTTGAGAGAAGGCCTGCAACCAATGGCGCTCGGTCCGTGCGCGAAATACAGGCGGAAAATTCATGGTTGAAACTGCGAATCCCCGTTCACCGGGATTGATCCCAACCGCAGCAAGGTGAATTTGTGAATGGCAGCAGCGCCGAGACTAAAGGCACCGTCAAGAACGGGAAAGGCGAAAGGGGAAACTGAGGCGTGTGATAAAAAAAGCGCGACTCGAAACCTGGGAGCGACTCTGCTGCCGCTCTGCACTATCTGTCGCATCGTTGCGCGACAAAGAACTCCGCGAGACGCCGCGCGCGGCCTTAAAGTGTGTGATATCGGTTAAATCTGCTCGAGGGCAATACCCCGCCAACTTCCGCGCGTCGCCGCTAGTGGCGGAGCTGATGCGATACTACAGAAGCCGATAGATAACGACATCTCTCTCCTCGCTTATGGTAATACGACTAAAGTAACTCTCGACGACGCGAATATTACTGATGCTGCGACACGTTCATGCTGAACAGAAGCTTGAACAGGTGGAACTAGGTGCTACAGTTGATGCTCACCCCATGCACGCGAATTTGCCTTGCGCCGGATGGATACGCTGCACCCGAGGTTGTTTCGTCAAGCAGAAGAGATCGAAGTCAAGCAGAAGAGACTGAAGTCAAACTAGGTAACTAGGTAGCAGAGTCTTGTTTATAAGCACATGCGAATTCTTTTTAGCTAGCTGCGAATTGACGAAACTTATGCGAAATGCTCGTGACAGCTTATACGCCCCCTTCATAAGGCAACCGGGAGGGGCTCAAACAGGCATCAATTGTACGCCATTTTTGAGTTGGATGGGAATAAGGGATCGCAATCCCTAAATAGTACCGCATAAGGAAATGAAGTGCACTCGAAGCCCCCCCTCCAATATTTTGTGCGACTGGACGCCAGGACGCGATTCCGCGGGGGAGCAACGAAGACATTCCCCCAAATTGTTACACAAGGAATGATTTCGTCACCGGCACACGAACCAACCGCGTTTGAATACCAGCGGGGACTTTCGCGTAGCAATTCGAAAACCACTCGCTACCAGGGACCCGAGGCTGTACTTTCCCGCCTTCTCGGCTGCATTCCTGTTACCACAAACAGTTCCGTTGCGGGTTTGCGTTGGTTCTGGACTGGAACACGCCCCCATGCTTCCGTCCCAACCTGGCATCCCCAAGGCTCCAAGGTACGTACACGACCAGAGCATGCGGGTCTGGCACTTCAGGGGGTTCATCCGCCTGGGCCATAGCTCGTTCGTATTGAAAGTCAGATCCACACCGAGCAGGTAGCAACGAGGCGTACCAGAGAGAAGAGCTGAGTGGGGAGAACGTAGACGAGTGAAGAGAGGACAAGGAGAGGAGAGAGCTGCCGCAGCCATCTTCAAAGGTCGTCGTTTCTAACTTACCTTTGACCTAAGGTACTATGGCGTGTTCGCATATCAATAGTCTTCCCGACGAGCTTCTAGTTGCCGTCTTCTGGCCCTCCAAGCGCCTCTTCTCTCCTCAGCCCGAGGTTCATTCGCGAGAACAAAGACGAGTCATGCTACCAGCAGAGGGTGGCCGTGTTTCTGGATCCTCCTCTTCCCGCAGCATTCGCCGACGCCTCTTACAATCTCCTCCTTGCGTCGATCTGCCGCCGCTGGCGTCGCCTGGCTCGCCGCCACGTGTCCACGCTCCTTGTCAAGACGAACCGCGCCGTGTCTCTCGAGGTCCTCGCGGCGGCAGTGAAATGCTTCCCCAACCTCACGCACCTCCATCTCAGCGACGGCAGCGCGCAAGCCATCGACGACGCCTTCCTCGCTCGCCTCGCCGCGTGCTGCCCGAATCTGACGGCGTTCCACCTCGGAAGGCCGATAGTGGAGAACCCGGAGTGCGACGAGGCGGGGGAGATCTTCCTCACACCAGACGGCTTCGACGCGTTCTTCCGCCGGTGCGCGCGGCTGGAGCACCTCTCGCTGGCCTGCCTGCACTGCGAGTTCCGGTTACCTTCTTCGCTCTTCAAGCTCGTGCATCTCCGATCCCTCGCAGTTGCCGATCTGCCCGCGGTAACAAATCCAAAAATAAAGAACTTGAGCGCTCTCACATCGCTCTGGATCGACTCGGTGGGGGACTATCAGACCCTGGAGCACCTCGCGCATCTGCCACGCCTCATGCATCTCTCCGTGCCAGAAGACGTCTCTCCTTGGCAATACCACTCGGCCTCTCCTCCCTTCTCCTTCGCACGCCTATCTTCACTCAAGTCGCTGAATCTAGGGAAAGCGTGCCCACCGTTCGATGAGATCTTTCCTCCCGAGTCACCGTGCAGCCTGCTCGAGCGGTTGGCGATTTTCCAGTGCGACGACTTCCACACTGTCCCGGACGACATCTGCCATCGCATGCCGTGTCTTCGCGAGCTCAGCATCGACGCGAGCGGTACCTTCTTCGCCGTACCCGAGCAGGCCACCTCGCTGACCTGCCTGCGCACCTTGAACTGCTCATTTCTAGGACTGCCGGACAGCTTTGGACAGATGCCCGCGCTGACGACGCTCGTGCTGCACGAGCTGAACACCCATTTCCCGCGCTCGTGCAGCAGCCTGCAGTCCCTTGAAACGCTTATATTCACCAAGTGTGTGTATCTACGTGAGCTACCAGACCCGCTGAGCGCTCTCACAGCGCTCAAGACCCTGTGCCTTGCGGATTGCCCCCTACTCATTCTCCCTGACGACATCGGAGCCCTCACCAACCTCCACACGCTCTACCTGAAGTCGTACAGAGCACGGGAAACCCTTCCGCCCTCCTTCACCCGGCTGGCATCGCTCACAAGGCTGGAGCTGCACGAGTGCGAGCTGACCGAGCTGCCACACGCCATAGGGGAGATGAGCCGCCTGCTGGAGCTGTACTTGCTGTCCTGCCCTCGGATCCAGAGGCTCCCCGAGTCCGTGGCAGCGCTACCCAACCTCGAAGTGCTAGTGGTGGACAAGTGCAACAGCCTCTTCTCAGTCCCTACGAGCCTCATGCATCTGACGCGGCTGAAGCAGCTGGAGCTGACCGGCTGTGCGCTGCTGAGAAAGGCTCCCGAGTTCTTGCCGGGGTCGCTGGAAACTCTCAGGCTGGGGAGCTATCCTGAGGTCACCCATCTGCCGGGCACCTATGCTCTTCCCAGCCTCAAGACAGTCAGCTTGAGCATTGTCATTTTCCCCTCTGCACTGTCCAGAAGCCTGTCTTCATTGGAGCACTTGCGTCTGGTGCTGGCATGTGAAAGCGAGCTCCCATTCCCCTTGGCGGACCTGCCCTGCCTTCGCTCCCTCGCACTCGTGAGCACCGGGGTCGTGAAGCTGCCAGACTTCTCCACCTCGATGCTGCAGGAGCTGCGTCACCTGGAGTTATCATTGCCTGAGCTGACAGAGATCCCATCAACCATCGCAGCTCTTCACAAGCTCACACACCTGGAGATCACCGCTCCCAAACTGCTTGCACTTCCCGATTCCATCGGGGCACTGTCGCGACTGTGCAAGCTGACTCTGTCCAACTGCTTAGCTCTCACTCATCTCCCGGCATCCCTCACACAGCTGGCCGGCCTGCGCGAGCTGAGCGTGCACAAGGCCGCCATCACATCCCTTCCTGCCAACTTTGCGCGTCTCACCCGGCTGCAGGCCCTTGACTTGCAGGGCTGCAAGCAGCTGGAGGCGCTGCCTGGCGATGTGGGCGAGCTGAAGCTGCTGGACCGCGTGGCTTTCACAGGGTGTGACAAGTTGCTCGACAACCAAGGCAAGCTGCGCCTCCCTGGGGAACATGATTCGTATCGCTGGCTGTATCCCTACTTTTAATCTCTGGCGTATCATTAGGAGACCTACCGGTACATACTGGTGATAGTTCTTTGTAGTGGCAACAGCAGTGCAGCCTGGATTACATCTTGATTACTGCCATCACATTTTTATGGAGATTACCTTAGTTGTACACATGTTTTCGTATACAATACTGGTTTGGAATTGTACAGTACCTTGCTCCAGCCATGCCTACAGTATGTAAGATGAGCATCATGAACCGCTGTTCGAGTAATCTGTAAATTTTCTCATGCAAAACATAGAGGAGCATGCAGGCTTCTTTCTGGAATAGAGGGAGTAACGGCAGCTTCTGGTGGTACCCTGCAGGATATAGGGAGGGAGGGTTCAAACGTTGAACTTCAAAGAGATGAAAGAAGATTTGAGCAAGGAGAGACGTATGTGGGCGTGGAACAGTTTTCAGGATGCGAAGGCAAGATTACTGTAGTGTGGTGCAGGAGAGGGTCAAGCAAAGAATACTTGCTTTCTGCAACAGCATACATGCACAAACAAAATTACCTTGAACGTTATCAGTTCAACTCACACTTCTGATTACAGCATCATCATGAATCCGGTGGGGAGGTGGCAATGCCTTGAGAGTTGTCATGGTAATGGTTGGGCTACTCAACGCAGCGGTGCATTCCTGGGGGGGTGGGGGTAGGGGAGGGGAGCAGAAACATTGTTTGGGATCGGTTGAGGTTGAGGGCGGGGATGCACGACACACATTGAAAGGTTCGGGAGAGCAGCATGGTGCAAAGCGGTGACTGTGGGTGCACGCCCTGCCATGCACTGTCTTTCATGGGAGAGAAGATAGAGAAGAGGGATAGGGGCGATTGGGGAAAGAAGGGACGCAGCGGGAACTCATGAAAGTGGAGCATGGGGTGACGAAACCATGGGGTGAATCGAGTGTTAACGACACTGGTGTCGAGACAGGCGACAATGAGAGCAGGGAACAAATTCAATAGCGGCAGGTTCAATTCAAGGTGACAGGAATTAAGGGTGGCTTCACCAGGCCTCGCGACGCCTCAGCAAGCAACAGCGACCAATATGAGCAGGCTGGACGCACGAAACGCGATTGCCCTCTGAGAAGCCATGAGCCAGCTTTCCAATTTAACAACTTCAACTGCTCTTCTGGCCCTTCATCACCGCACCCGGTCTGCAGCCAGGCTTACCACTCCCCACGGACCCAGGCAATGATGACACATAGTGGTAGACGCGCGGCCTGGCACTCAGACATGATGGGAAAGTGGCAGGTGCACCACCTACAGCCCCACGTCGGTGATATGCTCGTACAGCAACGTCCGCTGCCCACCGAATTCCACTACCTGTAAGGGGGCTGGCTTCTCCTGGCAGGGGCAGGGCGACGGGGGAGAGAGAAGGGCGGAGAAAGGGGAGGACGGTGGGTAGGAGAGAGGGGTCGGGCAGAGGCTTAAGGGGTGTCTGCGAGAGGGTCCGTGCGCTGGCCACCGAATTCCACTGCCTCCTCGGGAGCTGCGTCCTCCTGACGAGGGCCGGCGAAGGGAAAGAGAGAAGTGGGGAGACAGGGGGTTGGGGTTGGGTAGGGAAGGGAGGGGTCAGGGAGTGGCTTAAGCGAGGGTGCACTGGCAACCAGATCCCACTGCCTCCTCGGAAGGCTGGCCCCTCCAGTCCAGGCAGAGGTCGGGTGGAAGGGTAGATGGTCGGGGGAGAGGGGTAATAGGGAACAAAAGGGAACTTTCCCATTTTTCGCATCCTGAAGAATTTAGCAATCGACTCTTACAGCCCTCTACATCTTTCTGAGACCCCAACTCCTGTGATATCCTGCCTATCCCTTCGTCCCCTACACCCACTCACCCGTAGATGCAGCCAATCGCGAATGTCCTGCGCTGGCACCCTTTATCCCCCCCGACTCCCCTAATCCCCTCTTCCCCTCCTCCCCGCCCCTCCATCGCTTACCCGTAACATCCCCACAATCATCCCTTATATCATGGCTCACCCCCCCGCAGGCGCGGCCACTCGCGCATGTCCTGCGTCTGCTTGCGCAGCACCATGCGGTCTGCTGCTGCTGCTGGCACACGGTCCTCACACACGTGGCAAGGGGTGGAGAGGGGAGGAAAGGGCACAGGGAAGAGGGAAAGCAATGGATGCTTTGAGATGTCTCCAGGAACAAGCACCATGCGGCCTGCTGGCACACGGTTGTCAACACAGGCTTGTACGTCACAAAAAGAATAACCAACCAACTCCCCCCTTCCCTCCCCCTCTCTCTCCCCTCGCACCACCTTTCCCCGCCCTCCCCCCAACTCTCCCCGCGCCCACATCTCCCCTCTCCCCCTGGCGCACCTCGAGGAAGGCGTCAGCCCCTGGGCAGTCGCCGCCGAGTGACCTCGGCGGGCAGACGAGATTGCTGGCGCCTTCCCGCTCGAGATCGTCGAGAGGGCAGATAATCGGCGGAAGGGAAGGTCGACTGCCCGCTTGAGCGGGAGCGACGGCTGCCCGTCGCCGACCATCTGCCCGTCACTTCCGCTCGAGCAGGCAGTCGCTTCTGCCCGTCACTTCGAGATCGTCGCCGCTCCGCATTTCGAGCGGGCAGATGGTCGGCGGAAGCGACGACGACTGCAAGCTCGAGTGGGCAGATGAGCAGTCGCCGCTCTTCTGAGTCATTCCTTGCCCATCCGCCGTCGCCGCTCCACCTCGCGCGGGCTCCTCGATCATCATGACATCAGCACCAGCCGGATCTGCATGCACCGTTACACGCGCGTGCGGGAAGTTTGGTGCGCGGCCGGGTAGGGAATGTTGGGGAGGGAGAGGGGAAGAGGGGGGTGGAGGAGGAAAATCGAAGCGAGGCCAAGAGGGAGGTGAGCGACGCGCCGCGAGAACGACTGAGAAGACGGACAGTGACGATTAAGACGGAAGCGGCAACGGATAACAACAGCCTGAGGCAAGGAACGACAATGACTGACAGATATGGCGAGAGCGCGCGCTCTCCCTGCACCGTCATCATTCCGCGGATGCAGGGAACGAAGAACAGACTCAAAAACTTGCTTGAGACTGTTGGTCGGCTGGTGCACATGCGTGAACGCACCTCCTGCACTGTCATGTCGCGACGCTCCTTGAGCAGCTCGATGGCCTGCATGAGAGGAGTGGGGGTTGGGAGCTCGATGATTTTGTAGTATCATGTAACGAACTCGAGTTACAGCGAAGACGCCGATAACTGGGCAAGCTCGCAAAAGCGTTTCGCGGAAACAGTCTTTGAAATTCAAAATCAAGCCTCACGAAATCGAGCTCGACTCGCACGAGCGACTGCTGGTCGGGATCTTGTCTGATAGCGGGGCTTAGCAATGTTCCGCGAAGACATGTAAATCCTAAGGATTTTGAACTACTCCTTTCAAATGTATACCGCTGCTTTAATTATAGTGGCATGAAGAAAAAATGATGACGTCAATGGCGCGGAGGCAAGTAAGAATGTATTGGACGTGCACGTACTAAATCGACTAATTTACGTACTAAAGAAGCGGGAAGTTCCAGGACTATCTTATTGTGAGAGGCCAATGGTTCGCGAATGATGCACGAGTTACTATGCGATTCCAGGGCCTGTTGGAAAGCAGTATTTGGATTGCAGAGTAGTATGTTTCCACATCCGACTCAATGAGGAGCTGATTCCGGTGTAAACTTATCGGGTCAGGTTCGGTTCGTCAACTATGGTAACGTACACAACGAATTGTGCGCTGATTTCGCAGCGGTGCCACGCAAACCTCTGGCGGGATATTTTTGGGTTGCGAAGCAACCTATTACAATCGTTATGTACAATTTTTTTTTCATCGTTATGAAAAAAAAATAGCGAATCGTGGCTAAGTGATTCAGTGCTGTGTATTTGCCACGACAATTTAGCACGTGCCGTACCACATTCTTTCACATTTCCTAGGTAGTTCGCCTTGACTGGTAACCTATACTTTATCGATGAAACATAAACATGACTTGCCAAAATGATGTACCGTAACTGTGAATGCGTGACCGTTTATTCGGTAATGCATATGCCGTAAAAAATAATGTATAGATGAAGTATAATGATGATTGAGTGCAAAATGCATAAATATACATGCATATACGACTGTGGTGAATATACATGTGCTCTGTTTATTTCGGTATAGGTCCGGTGCAGTGAAATGAATGCATGGCATGATGGAAATGCGTGACAGTTAATTGACCCAGACCTTATGCTACCGCATCCCCTGCCTAGCATGGGGGGGAAGTCGATAGCATAGTTCCTGAATCATCCAACTGTTACATGAAACAACACAATCTGTGTAAACTAAAAAAATGATCAAAATCCATCAAATCCAGTTCAAGTGAACACACTCACTGAGTGGGCAAAGAACCTTCTCGGAAATGATAGCTTGACCATTTTTTTAAAATCCACAGATACGCATTGTTAATGCAATAGCAGGTGGATATGTATGAATATGCACACAGAGACACATACGCACACACGCACATACCGATATGCACACACAAAGACGAGTCACAATCAGAAAATGAACCTAAAAGAAATCTAACATAACAATGCAGTAGCATCAATCATTAACATTTCAAACAAAAATCAAACAAAATCCTTTTAATTTCCACATTAGCCTCCGAACGTTATAGCGAAGACCCTGGGAGGGAAACGGGGGGAAACGTAGTGGGAAGGGAAAGGAACGGGGCAGAAGGGGCAGAAAAAAGGACGGAGGCAGAGACACATTAGAGAACTACGATACGACGGAATTACAGGATTTGAAACGTAGGCAGGTGGGGAAGAGAAGTACAAAGGAGAATAACGAATAAAAATACCAGATGTGATAATAACCGCATAGAGGAAACGCAATAATCTGGGCAAGGAAAGAAGAAAACATAAATGAGCTCGTATATAGTAGCGTTTTGATAGATACATAAACGAGCGAAAGAGTTTGACAGAGAGAGAGAGAGAGAGAGAGAGAGAGAGAGAGAGAGAGAGAGAGAGAGAGAGAGAGAGAGAGAGAGAGAGAGAGAGAGACTTCAATAAACTATGGCTTCTAAAAAAACATTCGTAGACTTATGAAAGACATATTCAAAAACCGCACGAAGGTAGGAGTGGAACCAATACGGAAGGAAGATAACATGCAATACGAGGACTATACGCGAGATGCGAGGAGAAGAAACATTGCAAGAAATGAGACAGAAAGAGCCTGTAAGTATGACAGAAAAAAACACACACACACACACATAACTACGAGAAGATGGGGCACAGATACTAGAAAAACCGAAAGAAGAGCGTCTAAGCTGATAAGAATAAAAAGGAAGGAGGAAAACGACATGATAGAGAAATGAGAGGATAGTTCTAGGAGTTAAGAGCGTGAGCAGCACAGTTGGACTTACGGGAGAAGACACATTATTTAAGAACGACCTAACGGTTCCGTCGAAATGGACGATATCCTTAAAAACGATTAAGTTTCTAGATAACTTAGAACTTACTGGTTCAAATTAGAGAAAAGAACATGAACGAAACTGCTCCTAATATTTTCTTGAAGTCTAAAAAGAACTAGCAGACGTTAGTACGTACGCTAGTCCTTAAATTCTTACCTAGTAAGTATATGACTGCTGCAGTCGTAGGAGGAGCGGGAGTTGAGGGAGACGCGGGAGGAAACTAGGGCATTGACGATCCAGAAAGAGACGAAATGTTGGGAAAGGAATTCAATTTTCGGCTTCAATTCAACTCCCTCCTTAACTTTCTTGGAAGCTGAAGGTAGTTCTGTCAGCGCAGTGGTTTGAGTAACTTGTTTCAATCCAATGGTCTCGGGTTCGGTTCTTGCCGCGGCCTTCTGTATCAATGCAACATTTTTAACAGGTCCCTGTTTTTGATTTTTACCCCTCGAGGTCAGTTGTGGAAGCACTGTTGTATGGATTTCGAATCATAAGCTGTTGGTCTCCGGTTCGATTCTTGCTGCTACCTTTTCATGTCAACACAATATTGGATATGTGTCATGTCTAAGAAATCTAGGAAAGTACGTAGTAGAACAAAATATATTATCAAGAAATCTAGGAAAGTACGTAGTAGACACCTTGGACTGGTGAACCATAGGTCCCTGGGAAATTACCCCTTTCTATATGGTCTCACCTTGACCCCACTCCACGTTGATAGAATGACACCACTATAAAATCTCGCTCACCTCCAATGCCACACTGACGACAGCGAAGACAAGAAGAGCAGCAGCGAGGGAGAAGGGCAGGAAGCTGGGCGTCGTGGTGCTGGTGCCATGCCATGCAAGCATGCCATGCCATGCAAGTATGCATGGGAGGGAGAGAAGGGTGTGAAGGAAGACGAGATTTGCTAAGTATTTCACCGCAGTGTTTTGTTTGAAAACCTTTTTTAAACTTCCATCTTCCCAGCACTACCACAATGCGCATTACCTCGCAAGCTCGCCTGCAATGGCGAGTACAGTCACGCGCCACAGCAGCACGTAGCCCCACATGACCACGAACGTCACCCCCACAGACGCGGAGGTGGTAACCAGCAGCAACAGCACGCCGTGGCGATGCCAGGTCTTGACGTAGAAGGGCGTGCCCAGGAACACCAGCCCGCCCAGCGCATTGCACAGCGGGCTCGTGGCCAGGTGGTGCGCGAGGAAGCGGCGCTGGCGATGGGAGGGCAGGCCCAGGAGGGAGTCCAGCCAGCGGTAGCGCGCCCACGGGTACTGCTCCCTCGTCCGAGCTGCTCTGTGCTCCCCCATGCTACACCCAGGGGGAGAAGGGGGAAGGGAGGGTAACGGAGGGCGGCTAAGGGGGGAAGGAGCAACGAGGAGTGTCTGTGTGTGTGTGTGTGTGTTTTATTATTATTATTATTATTATTATTATTATTATTATTATTATTATTATTATTATTATTATTATTATTATTATTATTATTATTATTATTATTATTATTATTATTATCATTATCATTATTCGATCCACAGATGGAATTTTAGGGATCGCGCATCATTGACCAGCCAGATGCTACATGAGTGAGATAGCTAGATAGCTGAATAAGAGCTCGAGGCATCAATCATCCACTGAAATAGTTCTCAGTTATCGATCATCTAATCCGTGCACGCGAAGTTGACTCTGCGTTTCGCGCACCTGTCAGCCAAAGTCTCCAGACATACACGAAGATCTCGACGAATTAGACGAATTTGGCGAATGCATCGAAGTCAACGGGATCATGAACTTCTATGCCGCCTTTCGTAGATCAGCCCGCCGTTCGCTATGGCTATTCCTACCTCAAACGTCGCGGCCATTTATCGATCGAATCTCCAGGTATATTACTACTTGTGAGACGTCTCAAACGCACCGAATCGCATCGCAAATTTCGGCTCCTTTCTCGCCAGGCCTCGATCCGATCAGATCGAATCCAAACGAGCCTACTCGAAAATGCTCGTCTTCTCAAATCCGCAACCCAGGCCGAAGCTTAGAGGCATTTCATGAGACCTTATCATTCCACGTCCGAAGCTTCGCGGCATGGTCTGCCGCTGGTGCATCTTCTAGGCCAGCAGTCGCAGAAGCTTCCGAGGCGGAGGCTGCTATTTCTGGGTCGAGATCATTTTCCAGGATCAGCACTCGAGTAGCGGTGCAAGCGGAGCTTAAAACGCGTACAGCGAGGGTCGAGGAGAGGGCGGCTGGGAGAGGAGGTCAGAGGAGCATCAACAAGGTGGAAAGGGAAGAAAAGGGAGGTGGGGATGAGTGGATTGAGAGGGTAGTAGCGGAGAATGCAACGGGGAATGCAGCGGGAAAGAGTGAGGGAGGCAAGAGGAAGAGGAAAAACTATGGCACAGGAGGCTGCAAGGAGGAGGAGGAGGCAGTGGCAGTGATTGCTGGAGTGCTGAGGGAGAAATTCGGGCCTCAGATTGTGAGAGAGGAGTTGCAGGAGTGTGGGAGTGGGATAAGAAGCAGCGAGGACGAAGAGGAGGTGGGGAGATTGAAAGAGGATGAGGAAGAGGAGGAGGAGGAAGCAGAAGCAGGAGCGAGTGAGAAGGACGCACCACCCGCCACATCTTCCACACCCTCTCCTCTACTCAACAGGCGGCGGGTCGTATCTCCGTCCTCCCTCCTCTCCCTCTACCGCTTCTTCTCCTCCCACCTCGGCATCTCCTCCCCTTCCACTGTCGCTTCCCTCCTCGCCTCCCATCCTGCCCTCCTCCGTTCCAATCCCACCAATGACTTGCTGCCACGTGTCCGTCTCCTACAGTCATATGGCATATCCCATGCCGACATTACCTACATCACTGAGACAGGACCAGCTTGGCTCCGAAGCTCCCTGCCACAGATTCAGAATACACTTGAGTTTCTCTTGGCTCAAGGCATCCACCGCAGCAAATTGAGCTTGGTGCTTCGACGTGGACGCAATCTACTCAGCTGGGAGGCACGTTCGACGAACCTGGACATTCTGGTGGAGAGAGCAGGGGTTCCTGTGGACAAGCTGGGCGTTATTTTAGAGAAGTATCCAGACTTCTTGATTCGGAGCAAAGATGCGGTGAATACTCAGCTTGAGATGCTATCAGCTTATCTCAAGACGAAATCCGAAGGGAACGTAGAAGCAGATAGCACCAGCACAAGCCCTCTGAAGCAGCGAGTAGATGAGCCGCTTTTGGACGTGAGCCACCTAAGCAGGGTTATTCCGAATCATCCGGTCATCCTATCCATTCCTCCCTACCGCATCGCAGAAAAAATTGCCATACTCCAGTCCTTCACTCCCCCAGGCACCCCCTCCATTGCAACCTCTGTATTTCTGCGTGCCCCCACCGCCTTCAATCTTAGTCCGGAAACCCTCTTAGCTAAGCTTCACCTGTTTGTGGAGCTGGTGGGGGAGGAGGCAGCAGGGAGAATGGTGAGGAGCTACCTGCGGGTTCTGAATCAATCAGAGGAGAACGTGCAAGGCAAGGTGGCGGTATTGGCTGATTTACTTGGCCGAGAGAATGCTGTGCGGGTGGTGACACGATTTCCTTTGATACTGACTTCTAGTGAAGATAACTTGAAGAACAGCTTCAGAGAGCTTGTGCGAGAAGTGGAAGAGGCATTGGAGAGCAGTAGAAACGAGGGAAGGGGGATGCTAAGGCTGGGTGAAGGTGATTGGTTGGAAGAGGAGAATGAGTTTGAGGCACAAGACGACAAGAGATTCAGGGCTCGTCAGTTGGTGGTGGATTTGGTGGTGAATTGCCCGCAGTCTATCTACTGCAGCTGGGAAACGAACTTAAAGCCCAAGGTTGAGTACTTAAAACGGGACATGGGGCTCTCTATAATGGAGGTGCTTGCCTACCCTCCCTTTCTTACATTGAGTTTGGATCGACGAATCAGACCGCGGCATGTGGCACTGCTGCAAATGGGCTACGAGGTTGTGACACACGAGATGGTTAGTCGGACAAGTGTTGGAGACCGGAGGGCTGTTTCAGTAGAAGCTGGGCAACGGAGGAGCAAGTCAAGCTCTGTTTCCTCACTCTCTGACGAAGTGGAGGGAGTAGAGGGGATTGAATGGGGAGCAGAAAGCAGAAAGAGCGAGGGAACGGGTGGCAGGAAAGACCAGCAGTACGAATGGGAGGAGGATGGTGGTAGGGAACTGCCAGTTGAGGATTTTCTTGGTGATCACGAGCCTGAGGGGAGAGCTGCTACAGAGCAGCAGATTGTGCACTTGGAGGGGACGAGGAGAGCCGTGTTTTTGCGACAATTTCTCCACTTCCCAGACAAGAAGTTTGAGGAGAAGTTTGGGGTCAAGCTGTAGGGCTGGTGCTGATATATGTTTCCGTTCTGTGGCTTCCAATGAGCGATAATGCACAATCTTCCGGGGATGGGAAGAGGGGAGCGTTTATAGGGAGGTACAATAGCTGGTGGAAGGCAATTGTGGCAGGGCGGTAGGGGGTCCTGTTCTATGGGCTCAGCTTTCCTCTCTAGTTTCGATTAAACCAGGTGCTGGAGGGGAGGGGGAGAGGGGTAATAGCAGCAGGAGCATGAGCAGCAGGTGGAGGCAGAGGGGATAGAATGACTGCTACAGCCTTGTTGCTGGGTCCTTTGTTGCTGCCGGATGGGACTGGAGGGGGTGTGGCTGCTTTAGCTGCCTCTGCTACAGCTGCATCTGCCACAGTTGCTGCAGCCGTCCCGCTGCTGGACCTGCTACAGCTGCCTCTGCTACAGCTGCCACGGCCTGACCACTTTTAGTCCTGCTACAGCTGTTCCTATGGGTGGCGGTGTCGCCGGCTGAAGCAGAGGGCTGCTGCTCACGGCCCTGCAAGAGAGGCTCGGCAGGTGAGGGAATTGGCAGCAGGCTCGGTAGTGAGGTTTGCAAGGCTCCACTGCCACCACCACCTTTATGGGGTTGATAAGCTCCTCCCATTCCCATAGCCCACGCTCTGTCTCATCAATCCAATGTCACTTATTCTTTCCTATCTTTACTCAATATCGTCTCTTCTGTATCCTTCCCCTCTATCCTCCCTGCACTATCAACCTTCTTGCCTCTCTCTCTCAGAATAGGCGCTGCCATGCTCTCTGCAGCCCTCTTCGCCCTCTTCCACGTCCCCCTCTCCCTCCTCTTCCCCAACATGGCCCTTGGGATTGCCGCCGGCCTGCTTGCTGGTGCGAATGGGCTATGAGGTTATCGCACACGAGATGGCTGAAGGGTGTTTCGATTGGAGCTGGGAAAGAGAGGAGCAAGCTGGATTCTGTGTCTGACAGAGTGGAGGGGGTAGAGGGGATTGAATGTGGAGCGGATAAAAGAGAGAGTGAAGGAACGGGTGACAGGCAAGAGCAGCAGTGCGAAGGGGAGGATTGCGGCTATGGACTATTTCTTGGGGGGTTCCTAGGGAGTAATGAGCCAGGGGGGGGAGCTGGCAAAAAGCAGCAGCCTGTGAATCTGAAAGCGGCAAGGAAAACAGTGTGCTTGTAGCAGTTTCTTTGGGTTACAGACGAGAAGTTTGAGGAGAGGTTTGGGGTTAAGCTGTAGGGCTGGTGCTGATAGGCTTCTGTTCTGTTGCTTCCAATGGGCGATAACGTATAAACTTCCAGGGATGTGGAGAGCGGAGCGTTAACAGGGAGAAACCATAGCTGGAAGGAGGCGATTCTGGCAGGCTTGGTGGGGGGTCCTGTTCTATGGGCTCTTCTTCTCTCTCTAGTTTCTCTTAAAACAGGTGTTGGAGGGCAGGCCGAAGGGGTATTAGCAGAACTAGCAGCAGCAGCAGCAGGAGCTGAGCAGCAGGAGGAGGCGGATGGGGTAACGTGACTGCTACAGCCTTGTTGCTGTTGTCATTTGTTGCTGCCGGATGGGCCTGGAGGGTGAGTGGCTGCTACAGCTGCCTCTGCTACAGCCACTGCGGCCCTCCCCTTGCTGTTCCTGTGGGTGGCGGTGTCGCCGGCTGTAGCAGAAAATGCTACTGTTCAGAAGGCTGCTGATCACGGCCCTGCAAGAGAGGCTCGGCATGTGAGAGGGTTGGCAGGTGAGAGGCTTGAGGTTTGGCAAGAGGTTTGCTTTTGTTCAAAGTTGGGTAATTTCCACAAATCACACTCTTTCCTAGCAATCCAATTCCACGAGGTTGGGTAGTTCATTTCGTACCCTTGCCTGTCATGGCACATCTCAGAACTGAAGTCAATACCAGTCAACACAAAGCATGCTTTGTCAACTTAAGTCAGCAGGCCAAGTCTTGTTTGACTAACTCACCATCCTATGCTATCCCCCTTCCTGCCTCTCTCTCTCAGGATAAGCGCTGCCATGCTCTCAGCAGCCCTCTTCCACCTCTCTCTCACTCCTCTTCCCCAACACGACTCTTGGGATTGCCACCGGCCTGCTCATCGTCCACTCCAATAACGTGCTGCCAGCTATCGTCCTGCATACCACTTACAAACAATGCATCTGCCCTTCCCTAGGGTTTTATGTACGGGGGATTTCGGTACCGTGGATACATAGGGTTGTAGTAGAACCCTGGTATGCAAAGTTTTATCTTGTTATGAACATTCACTATGCAAATCTCAGTTGAAGACTTCCGCTGTCTTACTGAACGGCCTATCCTACCGGTAATACAAATTTACTCAGGCAGGCTATCACAAATACCGTACTATGCACCTGCACCCCTGTGCCCAAGTCTCCCAAACCTGATCCTTTCTTCAGCCCTCAACACGTCAGTGTCAATCTCCCTGAACCAATCAGGGAGCTCCCTGTGTCCCAGGAAGTGCACCATAGCCCCGATAATGCGGGGATCTCGGAAATAAGCCCCGTGGTTGAGATCGAATTGGCCGGTCAGCTCGCCAAATCGCTCCTCTATCATCGCACACAGTTGCTTCACCTGCACGAGGGAGGAGGGGGAAGCATAGACCAGGTCAAAGACCAAAACTCACGAGGGAGGGGGGGATTATACACTCTACATAGGGCACCCAAAACTCTATATTATAAGCGGACCATGTTCGGGTGTTAAAGAGAAAGAGAGGGCACAGAGAGAGTGATCCACACCGCACACGACTTGCTTGCTTACATCATAAATCGTGCACCTCCTCGTTGCTTCTTTGCTTACCTGCCAGCTAGGTAGCAAGTCAGGTTCAAAAAGACCACTTGCTTTCCTGCCACATGCACCTTCAACTGCAGGCTGTGTGTGAATGCGCACCTTTCAAGGTCACACCAGTGCATGCTTAGTAGATTGCACATTACGGAGGCCGTGGCAGCGTGCAGCAGGGCAGTGGACGGCATGGCAGTTGCTGTCTCACCAGGCGCACGCACTCCTGGTCGGAGAGGTGAGGGTTGTGGGTGATGGCGTGCAGCTGCGGGCGCAGCAGCTTGTACGTCGCTGACTCACTCGCTGCTGCCTCCAGCGCGCCGTCGTTCCACAGGAATTCATATGCCACCCGCTCCTCCCTGCTGCCTCTCGCACTCACTCGCTGCTGCCTGCTGCTGCCATGTTGCACTTTGGTCATCTTCAGCTGTCCCTCGTGCCCCGGCCTCACCCCCTTCTCTGTTCCCCACTGCTGCTGGTGCTGCTGCTGCTTTCCTTTCATCTCTTCACGTGCACCCTCAACAGAGGCCTCGCCCACTCCCCCCCTCCGTGCCGCACGTCCAACTCCCTCTGCAGCGCTGCCCCCTCCCCCCGCTCGCCCTTCCTTGCTGTCACCCCCTCCTTCACCCATCTCCTCACCGCCCTCCCCTCTCTCCCCCTCCTGTCGCAGGGCCTGCTCCGTGAAGCGCCGTGCTGTCACGCGCCTTCTGAAGCGGCTTAAGCTCCGCCTCTCGCTTCCCGGTGCTCTGCCCTGCCCTCCCTCCTCTCCTGCTGCTGCCACCATGTGCTGTTGGGCGGCACCAAACGACTCCACGGCCTCCCCCAAACCCAAGTGGGTACCTGAGGGCTCCATTCGCGAATCACAGAGCTCTATTGTGTGCATGCAGCTGCCCTGCTGTGGTCTCGACACACTTGTCTGTATTGCGTCTATCCCTGCACCCCCTGCTCCCTCAGCACCCACCCTTTCATCACCTTCCCCTTGCCTCTTCACCCTCACCTCCCTCTCTCCAACCTCCTCCTGCTCCTTTCTCTCCTCCGCCTTACCCTCCCCAATCAACCCCTCCGCAGCTACCCCTTTCCCAGTTACGCCCTCTTGAGGCATCCCCTCTTCAAGTAGCCCCTCCCCGAATACAGCCTCCCCCATGTCACACGTGGGATTTTCATACCCCGCCATCAGCTCCCCCCGCAACGATCGTGTCTTGGCCAGCGCCAGAAGTTTCTGAGAAAGTGGGGAGAGAGGGGGGGTGGGGGAGAGGGGAGGGTACGGGTGGGAGGAGTAAGCTAGAGGGATAGTGTTCATTCCCCTCGGAACACAAGCTAGACGAAAGAACACAAGTCACTGAGACATTTGAGACATTGGTGTGCGCTGCTGCAACTGCTGCAGTGTTGCCCGTGCATCTGACCTGATCGCACCTGCATCTGATCTGAGCGCACCTGCACGTTCCAGTGCTGCACGTGGTGTGATGGCGACCACTCGTCCAGGTGCAGGCACTCGTCCACAAACACACTGGCGAAGCTCAGCTCCTTGGGGGACAGCCCAAAGCTCACCGTCACTATCGCTTTCCGCACCACCGAGATTACGAACGGCGCCAGCAGGCGAGACAGCAGTGCTACAGCTGTTGCGGGCAGGATGAAAATTGTGTTCCACAAGAGAATCCGGGCACTGTTGCTGATGTAAAGCGTCCAATCGGAGCATTTGTTTGTGGTTGGGCGGCGGGGAAGGGGTTTCCAGAAGGGGGTTTTGAGCATGGAGGCTAGCTGCGGGACAATGTAGGCTCGGGCGATAGGTTCGGTGGAAAGTGCCAGGCTGGCCTCGTCTAATTTGCCGGCGTGGATGACGAGTGCTGACATGGCATGCGACCAATCAAAGCCAGGAGAGTGGTAGATGTTCCCGCTGTAAAATGCAGTGCTGCGCCAGAGCTCGGATAGGGTGGTGGAGGGTGGAGACAAGAGGAGGAGGAGAAGAAAGAGAAAAGGGGAGGAAAGAGGGGATGACGGGAGAAAGAAAGTAGAGTGAGGAAGCAGAAAGAGAGTGATGTGTGATTGGTCGTGTGGGTGTGGAGAGCAATGCAGTGCACGAGAAAGAGAGGAAGGGAGGGGAGAGCGGAGGAGAGAGAGAGGGAGGAATAGGGAATGGGGAGCAGAGGGAGAGGGGGGGTAACCATTAAGGTAAACCCTACAATTACCTACATTATACTATCACATCAGTGCCATTGCACGATTCCTCATCACATCACTGCCCTTACATGACTCAATGTAAGCATACGATCACACACCCTCAAATTTACAGAACCAAAAGAGACACCTTGGACTGGAGAACCATAGGTCCCTGGGAAATTACCCCTTTCTATATGGTCTCACCTTGACCCCACTCCACGTTGATAGAATGACACCACTATAAAATCTCGCCCACCTCCAATGCCACACTGACGACAGCGAAGACAAGAAGAGCAGCAGCGAGGGAGAAGGGCAGGTAGCTGGGCGTCGTGGTGCTGGTGCCATGCCATGCAAGCATGCCATGCCATGCAAGTATGCATGGGAGGGAGAGAAGGGTGTGAAGGAAGACGAGATTTGCTAAGTATTTCACCTCAGTGTTTTGTTTGAAAACCTTTTTTAAACTTCCATCTTCCCAGCACTACCACAATGCGCATTACCTCGCAAGCTCGCCTGCAATGGCGAGTACAGTCACGCGCCACAGCAGCACGTAGCCCCACATGACCACGAACGTCACCCCCACAGACGCGGAGGTGGTAACCAGCAGCAACAGCACGCCGTGGCGATGCCAGGTCTTGACGTAGAAGGGCGTGCCCAGGAACACCAGCCCGCCCAGCGCATTGCACAGCGGGCTCGTGGCCAGGCGGTGCGCGAGGAAGCGGCGCTGGCGATGGGAGGGCAGGCCCAGGAGGGAGTCCAGCCAGCGGTAGCGCGCCCACGGGTACTGCTCCCTCGTCCGAGCTGCTCTGTGCTCCCCCATGCTACACCCAGGGGGAGAAGGGGGAAGGGAGGGTAACGGAGGGCGGCTAAGGGGGGAAGGAGCAACGAGGAGTGTGTGTGTGTGTGTGTGTGTGTGTGTGTGTTTTTATTATTATTATTATTATTATTATTATTATTATTATTATTATTATTATTATTATTATTATTATTATTATTATCATCATCATTATTATTATTATTACAATTATTATTATTATTATTATTATTATTATTATTATTATTTTTTTGGTGCTGGTGGCAGGTCGCAGGCCTAAGAGGGAGCCCACTAGCTGAGGCTCGAGAAGGGCGTTTCTCCCCCCTGTACTTGCTGCTGCTTCGTGCTCCGCATGCCCAAGTTGGAAAAAAACGATGTACTGAAACTGTGGAGGGAGCGGAGGGATGGGAGGGAGGGGATGGATGGGAGGGAGGCGAGGGAAGGGATGGGGAGGAAGGGAGGGAGGAAAGGGGGGGGGGGAGGCGAGGGAGGAAACGGAGAGGAGGGACGGAGAGGAAAGAGTATAGGGGAGGCGGGCGAGGGAGGGTGAGCAGCGTACCTCCTTTTGACAACAAGGAAGGGAAAGAAGCGCCAGCAGGTATTGGAAAGATCCGGCTTCTGCCAGTGGCGAATCAAATCGTATCTGCTCTTGTACGCCGCCCAGAATTGTTGAAGGACAGGTGGCGGAAGATCGGAAACGGCCTTTCTTCCCTGGCCCTTCATGTACTGTGTGTGCCGGGTAGTCCGGGGGCAGGGGGGGGGGGCAGGGTGGGGGAGGGGCAAGGGGAGAGGGAGGAGATATGCAGGTGGGGACCGGAAGGGGGAGGGGGATAGGGAGGGAGAGGGGGAAAGGGAGAGGGAGGGGGGGTGTAAGGGGGAAGGGGGGGGGGAAAGGGGTGGGAAGGAGAGAGGGAAAGGGATGAGGAGGGGGAGGGGAAAACGCAAAAGGAGAGGAAGAGGAAAACGCAGGGGGAGGGGGAAGGGAGAGGGTGGGAAATGGGAGCCCGCCCTGCCCTGGAGCTCCCTTAGAGGGAGTATGCTGCTGAAGTAGAGGTAGCCCTAGTTACGTACTTACTAACCTGCATGCTTGTGATTTCGTACGTATCATTGCAGCGGACCATTTGAAAGGGTCGGGAGAGGGGAGAGGGCGGGGGAGATGGGGAGGGATTAGGGAATAGGTTGAGCAAAATTCCGAACGCCTGTTCGGTTCGCCTCGAACATGTTCGAGGCGAACCGAACAGGCATTTTTTTTTGCCTAAATCGTTCGGCCCGAACATGTTCGGTGTTCGGCCGAACATGTTCGACGTTCGACTCAGTCAACGGGGGCCCCCGAGTCGAACACGAACACGTTCGTGTTCGACTCGGGGGCTACGCGAACACTAATGCGTTCGCGTCAATTTTGGCCGCGACCAATTTTAGGTCGCGGCCGATCTGAGTTTGGGCTCATTTCGATAGCTCAAACTCAGATCACGTTTCCAAGCCTAGCAAGCCCTACTACCTCAAACCCACACCCCACCCTTGCATTCTTCTTGTAGAAGCCTTAGATCTCCGTCACAACTTATCCTTCCGGAGATCATGTCTAGGGTTTCGTTGGATGAGTCTATGTAGAGTAATTTTCATGTAGTTATTGGAGCTACTTCTTCAAGCAACACGTGGTCTAAGCGGGCCGGTTCGAATCACTCATTTAGGAAAGCCACACGAAGTTCAGTACGTTTTGGGCCGTGCTACTACCCAAAGAAACCGCCCGTTGCCTCACCGCGGGTTTTTGGGTTTTTGAGCCGACGGTGTAGTTATGGCTTCTGGCCGAGGTGGATCTGTAGCACGAGGTCCAGGCGGCGCTCGGAGCGGCGTACCAGGTTCTCCACCACGACCTATGGAGGGGCGGGTAGGGGATGGACCTGTCCCTCCCTCCCTCTCTCCCTCCCTTTCTCTCTCTCATGCCATCCATGCCTTCTCTCTCCCGCCTTCCAATCTCATCCTCCTGTGCTCCCCAGGGAGCGTGTTAGGCACTACATGCACACGACTGGACTTGCCTCCCGCAGCATGCTGGAGGTGAGACGTTGATGAGGAATTGAAGCAAGCCATTAAGGTGGGGATGAGGCGTTGAGGTGGGGGTGAGGCGTTGAGGTGGGGGTGATGCATTGAGGTGGGGGTGAGGCGTTGAGGTGGGGGTGATGCATTGAGGTGGGGGTGATGCATTGAGGTGGGGGTGATGCTTTGAGGTGGGGGTGATGCATTGAGGTGGGGGTGATGCATTGAGGTGGGGGTGAGGCGTTGAGGTGGGGGTGAGGCATTGAGGTGGGGGTGAGGCATTGAGGTGGGGGTGAGGCATTGAGGTGGGGGTGAGGCATTGAGGTGGGGGTGATGTGCTAGTGGCGCATCTGTCAGGTGTTTTCCCTAGTGGAGGCTTGGATTCCTCATGCCCTGCCCTGCCATGCTTTGACTGCTCTGCCTGCCTATCTGCCTGCCATGCTTTACCTACCTGGTCCTGGCTCCCTCCTCTCTCGCCACTCTCCCTCAAGGTTCAAAATTACGACCGAATTATTGAAATTCTACCGTATAATACGGAATCGTATAAAACGACCATAAAATACGGTTTTAAAAAATTCAGTGATTGCTAGGAGAAAAACTACGTTTTTCAAAAGTCTATCAAAAATACGGCGTATATTTTTATTTTTGGCCGTAAAAAACGACCGTATTATACGGACCGTATAATACGATATCCGTAATTTTGATCCTTGCTCTCCCTTGTATGACCTCGTTTCGCCCACTTGTCTCCATCGCTTGCCTTCCCCTCCCCTCTTCATTCCTTCTTCTCTCTCTCCTTTCCCTCTCCATTGCTCTTCCGCTTTTCTGTTACCATTCGGATCCCTCTTGATCCTTCAGTTCTCATCTTTTTCTGTTCGCCTTTCTCCTTTCTCAGCTCGCCCACTCCCAATACTTCATGTGCAAATTCACGGTTCATCCAACCCTTTCTTCCCCTAGCCCCCTTTCTTTTCCCCTGCCCACTCTCCTTCCCGCCTCCCCCTCTCTCACCATTTCCTCTGCCTGCTCTCCTCCCCTCCTCCCACCCCTGCTCTTCTTCCCCTCGCCCCCTCTTCTTCTCCCCGCCCTTCTCCTTTTCCCCACCCCTTCTCCTTCCCCCTTGGCCCCTTTCCTCCCCCCCGCCCCCTTTCTGGTGGGGGCTGCCAGGAAGGCGTTGTGGAGTGTGGTGGTGCTCGGTGCTCCCAGTGACGGCCGGACCAGCAAGTAGTGAGTGCGTGTCTGGAAGAGGGTTTGAGGGAGTGTGTGAGGGTGGTGGGGGCGTGCAGTGGGAGGGAGAGCAGCGGCGCGCCCCTGGTGGGGGCTGCCAGGAAGGCGCTGTGGAGTGTGGTGCTGTTCGGTGCTCCCAGTGACGGCCGGGCCAGCAGGTGAGTGGTTCTTCGGAAAAGAGTGTGTGAAAAAGGGAGAGATCATGTGTCATGCCTTCGGTCTTGCTTGGGTTGGCCCTGCCGCTTTCCTCACCGACAGGCATTGGTTGGGTTGGGGTGACCGAGTTCCTGGTGGAGCGTGAATGAATTCCAGCAAATTCCAGGCAACCTGAAGCTCTGGAAGCGAGCAACCGGTGTGGCTGTTTGGAGGGTGTTGTGAGAGCTGGAGTGTGAGATTAGAGAGACAGTAAATGGAGTGGAGTGACAGAGTTCCTGGTGGAGTGCAAGTTTGACCCGGGCGCTACAGGTGGTCAACTGCCCGCATCTGCCAGCCGTGCAAACATCCAGCTGATGTACAATCTTTCTTTCCCCACTTCGCCACCCTTCTTCCCCTACTGACAGGCGGCGCGTTGAAGTGACAGAGTTGCTGGTGGAGAGAGTTCGATCTGGCGCCGGAGGTGATCAACTTCAGTGTGCAGATCTGGCACCTGCCAGCCGTGCAGATCCACGCCAGCGTGGCAGCCTCGCTGGCAGAGAAGCAGCAGCAGCGTGTGCTGTTTGAGGGGCTCATGGATCGGATCTAATCAAATACATGCTGCCACCCGCTGGCATGGCTGAGGTGAGAAGCACTGTCTCTGTCTCTGCAGTCTCTGGATCGGACAGTCTCATGGATCGGGAGCATGCGCTTGATCCGATCTATGAGCCACGCACAGTCTCTGCAGACTTGGTCATGCACTCCCTCTCCCTCTGTCTGGATAAGGTGACTTAGTAGCACCTCGTGCTGTTTCCAGGGCTCATGCACCGCATGCCTGCCAAAAGCCTGGTCGCATGTTTTGTGGGATGTGCGACACAGATCTGGCGTGCCAACTAGTTTCTGACGCGGCTACTGCTTGTATGAGTGGAGGGTGTCTCAACAATCTCAAGTGTGCACTCCTCTCCAAACCTCACTTCTCCCAATCGTGCTTTTCCGATCCTCATCCCCTCCTTACCTCCGCTTTCTTTTTCCCCTCATCCCATCATCTGCACACGTCTCCACAGGTGATTGTAGCAGCAGTGATGGTCTACACCCACACTGCTGTCTGACGAGCATAAGTGAGTCACTTGTCATAAGTCACTTCTCATAACTAGTTTTGTGCTAATTCATGTATCCCGCTCTGCTCATGCCTCTCCAAATCTCCTCACCTTCCAGGAAGGTTCTTTTCAACGTGGCCTATCACAGGCTTAGCTTGGCCTTTCAGATCGCCATGGGGCACTTCCAGCCTGAAACCACCCAATTGGGTCTGGCAGCAAGAGTTCTCACCACTGCTGCTACTGCTGCCAGCAGCAACAGTACCAGCAGCAGCAGTTTGCCTGGTTCTACTCGGTGTGCCCAAGTATTCCATGTACCACCTTCCAGGAAAGTTCTGTTTAAAGTGGTCTGTCGCAGGCGAGCCTGGCCTTTCAGATTGCCACGGGGCACTTTCAGCCCCAAGGTAGCCAGGGGGTTGTGGCTGCTACTGCCAGTACCAACAGCAGCAGCAGCCAACACTGGTGGCGCAGCAGCAGCAGCAGCGGTGGGGGTGGGTTTGGGCCGGTGTACCCTTTTCAGAGTCGCAT